TGGCAGCCATGATGCTGCCAATGGTGGCCATGATACCCCAATGATGGCCATGATACCCCCAATGGTGGTCCGAACACCCCACTTGGTGGCCATGACAGTGATGAGTGCCATGACACCTCCACTGGCAGGCATGACACCCCCAACAGTGGCCATGATACCCTCAATGAGAGTCTTAGGAATCCTGTTGGCAGCCATGACTCCCCAGTTGGTGGCCATGACACCACCAATGGTGGCCATGATCATTCTGGCAGCCATGACAACCCCAACGGTGGCCATGATACCCTCAATGAGAGTCTTAGGAATCCTGTTGGCAGCCATGACTCCCCAGTTGGTGGCCATGACACCACCAATGGTGGCCATGATCATTCTGGCAGCCATGACAACCCCAACGGTGGCCATGATACCCTCAATGAGAGTCTTAGGAATCCTGTTGGCAGCCATGACTCCCCAGTTGGTGGCCATGACACCGCCAATGGTGGCCATGATCATTCCAGAGGCCATGACACCCCTATGGTGGCCATGACACCCCCAACGGTGGCCATGATACCCACAATGATGGTCTTAGGAATCCTGTTGGCAGCCATGACTCCCCAGTTGGTGGCCATGACACCACCAATGGTGGCCATGATCATTCTGGCGGCCATGACACCCCCAAAGGCGGCCATGCTGCCTCCCAACGGGCGCTACAACCTTCCCCAACAGCGGCCACGCCACCTTCTCCCCCCGACAGGTGCCACCGCCTCCGCGGACGACTTTGGCCAAGCGCGACGGGAGTTGCTGGCCCACCTGGAGGCGGTGGCCTGGGCCCCGTATCGAGCGTCACCGGAATTCGGGCGCTTCGTGCAGTTCAAGTGGTTGGAAGGGCAGGTGGTGGGGGCCGAAGCCTTCGCCGACTTCAGGGTGTTGGGCAAGGGCGGCTTCGGCGAGGTCTGCGCCTGTCAGCGCCGCGCCACCGGCAAGATGTACGCCAACAAGCGCCTCAACAAGAAACGCCTCAAGAAGCGCCAGGGCTACGAGGTGGGGCCACCGGTGGGGCCACCGGGGGCGGGTATGGGGTAGCCACGGTGGCCATCCGGCCCCTTGGCCATCCCTCGGTCCCCTCAACTGCCCCGCTGCTTGGCGCGTGCCACCTGCATGTGCTTGGCGCGTGCCACCTGCATGTCCTTGGCATGTTCCTCCCGGTTTTTTTCCTTGGCATGTTCCTCCCATGTTTTTCTTGGCATGTTCTTCCCATGTTTTCTTTGGTGTGTGCCACCTGCATGTCCTTGGCATGTTTCTCCAGTTTTTTTCCTTGGCATGTTCTTCCCATATTTTCCTTGGTGTGTGCCACCTGCATGTCCTTGGCATGTTTCTCCAGTTTTTTTCCTTGGCATGTTCTTCCCATATTTTCCTTGGTGTGTGCCACCTGCATGTCCTTGGCATGTTTCTCCAGTTTTTTTCCTTGGCATGTTCTTCCCATATTTTCCTTGGTGTGTGCCACCTGCATGTCCTTGGCATGTTCCTCACGGTTTTTTCCTTGACATGTCCTTCCCATGTTTTCCTTGGAGTGTTCCACCCGCATGTGCTTGGCTTGTGCCACCTGCATGTCCTTGGGCATGTTCCTCCCGTTTTTTCCCTTGGCATGTTTCTCCCATGTTTTCCTTGGCATGTTCTTCCCAGGTTTTCCTTGGCATGTTTCACCCGCATGCGCTTGGCTTGTGCCACCTGCGTGTCCTTGGCATGTTCTTCCCATGTTTTCCTTGGCATGTTCTTCCCACGTTTTCCTTGGAGTGTTCCACCCGCATGTCCTTGGCATGCGCCAGCCACCCTTGTGTTCTTGACATGTGCCACCCATGTTTTCCTTGGCATGTTCTTCCCATGTTTTCCTGGTGTGTTCTACCCGCATGCCCTGGGTGTGTGCCACCTTTGTGTCCTCGGCACGTGCCACCCGTGTTTCCCTTGGTGTGTGCCACCTGCATGTCCTTAGCGTGTCCTTGGTGTGGGCTGGGCCATCGCCAGCTGCGTGTCCTTGGCGTGTGCAGGCGGCGCTGGTGGAGAAGCGGATCCTGGCACGGGTGCACAGCCGCTTCATCGTCTCGCTGGCCTGCGCCTTCCAGACCAAGACCGACCTCTGCCTCGTCATGACCCTCATGAACGGTGGCGACCTGAGGTAAGCGTGTGCTTGGCATGTGCCACGCATGTTACTGCCGGAGATGCCTCCCAGCAGCGTGTCTGGCACGTCCTTAGCATGTCCTTAGCATGTGCAGGTGCCATATGCATGCAATGAGGATGAGGCCAACCCTGGGTTCTCCATACCATGTCCCCAGTGTCTTCCCAGGTGCTGGCGTGTCCCCAGGCACTGGCGTGTCCTTAGCATGTCCTTAGCATGTGGAGGTGTCACACAGCCAATGTGGATGAGGCCAACTCTGGGTTCTTCATACCGTGTCCCCTGTGTCTTCCCAGGTGCTGGAGTGTCCCCGGGTATTGGCGTGTCCTTAGCATGTCCTTAGCATGTCCTTAGCACGTGGAGGTGCCACACATGCAATGTGGATGAGGTCTACCCAGGTTCCCCAAGCCATGTCCCCAGCATGTGTCCAGGTGCCGGCATGTCCCTGGGTACTGGCGTGTCCCCGGGTGCTGGCGTGTGCTTAGCGTGTGCTTGGCATGTGCTTAGCGTGTGCTTGGCATGTCAGGTACCACATATACAATGTGGACGAGGACAACCCCGGGTTCCCTGAGCCACGGACCGTGTTTTACACTGCCCAGATCCTGCTGGGGCTGGAGCACCTGCACCAGCACCGCATCGTCTACCGCGACCTCAAGCCCGAGAACGTCCTCCTCGATGACGCCGGTGACGTCGGGATGGGGGGGGACGTTGGGGACATTGGGGCATGTGGGGACATCAGGGACCTTGGGGGGCACAGGGACTTCGGGGGCTATGGAGACATCAGGGACTTCAGGGATTTTGGGGGATATGGGGACATTGGGGGACATTGGGGGACATTGGGGGGACATTGGGGGAATTGGAGGCGTAGGGGACATCGGGAACATCAGGGACATTGAGGGATGAGGGGACATTGGGGGAATTGAAGGCATAGGGGACATTGGGGACATCAGGGACATTGAGGGATGGGGGACATTGGGGGACATTGGGGGAATTGAAGGCATAGGGGACATTGGGGACATCAGGGACATTGAGGGATGGGGGACATTGGGGGACATTGGGGGAATTGAAGGCATAGGGGACATTGGGGACATTGGGGACATCAGGGACATTGGGGACATCAGGGACATTGAGGGATGAGGGGACATTGGGGGGACATTGGGGGACATTGGGGGAATTGAAGGCATAGGG